TACCAGATCTGGGTAGCATAGGACAGAGCTGGAGCCTGTGTCAAGAGGGAATGGAAGTTGGAGCACGACAGGTCACGCTGCCACTTATCAGCCTATAACCTCATTCAAGGAAGGGATTCTACCCTATGCCACCCAGTTTTGATTACTGCCTTCCCATTGGTTCTCAGCTCCCACAGCCAATCTGATTGGCCCCTGACCATGGGCAGTTCAGGGTGCATCTCTGCCAACAGAGGGGCAGTAACTCCTTCCCAACTGGCATGACAGAAGGGCAGCCAAGCCAAACTTCAGTGGCATTGCTACCTGGCTCATGGGCTCTTGTTCCTAATCCCGAGCTCTGCCACAGGGGAGTAGTGCAAAGGCAAAGACTGTGAATGGCAGAGAAAACACATTAAGATGTTTCTATTGTTGAAGTTTTCATTTATTAATCCCCTAGTCTTCTGCATACTAAAAAAAGGTTTGTGAAAGATGTACGTTTAAACTGTTTCCCTCCACCCCCATTTAAAGGTTGTGCTGCAAGGGGCTTTTAGAAACACTTTGTTTTTTACACAGTTAAATGTATGTGAACATGCTGTATTATTAAAAAAAAAATCTGAGTTACGCAATTGTAAACTATGCCTACCCGGTGTGGCACTCTGTCCCCCTCTCGTGGTGATTAGGCCGATAGGGATTGATGACTCTGTTGCAGCCTTGGCTAAGATATCTGGGTCTTTTAACTGAGATAGTGGAGGCTGATGAATTAAGCTCCAGATCGCCCAGGTTCGATCCACAGTACCTACAACCCACATAGGGGCATTGGCCTAGCACTATGTAGCTCCTAAAAAACGTACAGCCCACTAAAGGTTTTCAGTGGCCCATCTCTGAGCTAGATGCAGAAAAGGCTCTATGGTACTCAGAGTCATACAGACACACAGAACACTCCACTGTAGCATCGGAAGGAGAGAGTTTCTATTACCAACACTGCATTCTTCTTTTTCCCCAAATAAATTCATAGGATGGCTGCATTTAACAAACTTTAATCACCCAATTTGTTCAATCCAGTTAAGGATTTAATGGAAAATAATTCAAGGCAAGTATTGTGCCCTTTGTTAAAAGCTTCACTTTAAGTTAAGCGAAGCTCAGCCCACCATAGTTTGAGCCGTGGTTTTATACCTAAAACACTGGTGATAAAGAAGAAAAAAAAGACAGAAACAACAATGCAGCAAATTCACCTTTCAGTCATGCTAGGAACTGCTAGTCTAGAAACTTTTGTTATCCATACTGTGCACAGTTTGCAACGGTCAAACCACCATTCACAGTAAAACAATTTTCAATTATGCCTCAAATCATTTTTCAATAAATTGCAAGTCTGTACCAAAGATAACACCTAACATCAATGCTGGTAAAGGAGCAGGCCCTGGACATACATTCAGAAGACATATCAGTGAAGTGAATTGTGCTGCCACCCCTCACCCCAAAAACCTGTCCAATGAAGTTAAACTACCGCTGTGAACACATGGGGATAGATACAGCTGATCCCAATAGGAGATTCCAGCTGAATGATCTATGTTAGTGGTTCCTAATCTGGAAGTTCTTACATATGTTAAAGATCATGATTTTTTGAAGACAGGAACATTTCTCTCACCTTCCCCAATTCTTTCAGTCAATGGAATTTTCCCAAGTGTTTAAAAAAAAAAAAATCACCCATGGGAAGAGAAAAAAGCAGGGGACATTTCAGCTATAGAATGCAAATGCGAGTACATGAGAACAGGAAGTTATAATGAAAACTGCTTTGTAACATCAACTGTAGAGGTTGTGACAGAATAAATGAATGTTCGTCAGTTCCTCTTTTCTTTCCAACTTTAAGTTTCATATTTCTTTGCAAGGACCTCCCACCCACACTAATACCTCCAGTAGTATTTATTGAGTCTCTTCTTCAGTTGCTACTACTTTAGCTTGTTTTTGCAGATAAGGTGACCCAAAAACAAACAATATTCAAGCTAAGGATGTACAACAGTTTGTGTCATGGTATTAGACTAGTTTCTCATTATTCTCTATTCCTTTAAGTTTTTAGTTTTTTGGGCCACTAGTGCCCCTTGCAAAGGTACCTTCATTGAACAGTTTACATGATATCCAGGTCTGTTTCCTGGACAGTTATGACTAATTAAGACATCATTAGCATGTATGACAAATTTAGAGCATTCCTTCCAACATATATTGTCCGTTGAATTTCAACATGTTGCCCTGTTAAGAGTAAGTTAGTTGGTCACATGTGATGGGGGAAAAACAAGACCAATGAAAGCCAAAGAAGGAGAGACCTTGGAGGAGTGTGGTTGAAGCGCCAAGTACAATTTACTCTATAGCAATCACTTAATATTAGAAGGAGTTTGAGGATGAGACAGCCTGTATGGTACATGCAATCTCACGTTACACCCCCTTTTCCATTTTTAGAAAGAGGAAAAAAGTGTGAAACAGGAAACTACAGTTACTACTTAGACTAATTTCAATCCAAAGTAAAATTCTGGAGTGTGATATAAGGACAGACTGACAGAACAGTTGACAGATACAGGAGTTATAAGTGGGTATTAGCATGAATTGTATAGGTAATTATCCCTGATCCTGCTAATATTTTAAGAAAGGGGATACTGCCTATTCATTGGCGTAGGTAGTATTTACACTGAAGTGCTACAGCAATGCAGCTGCAGGGTTTTAAGTGTAGACAAGCCCTCACTTAAAGGGCAGGGGGGAGGGGTAGAGAGAAGTCAGTGAACAGTCCCCAAGGCATCATTCTTACTCTCCTATGAAGCAATTTCAGTTGCCAAAATGACCACATAGAACTCTTAGTCTCACGCAGGAAGGATTTACCCCAGAATATGAATGGGGGTGAGGGGTAAGTATCTTGAGAAATATCTTCTTCCAAGTGGGAAAACTGAGGTTGAGCTGAAATTACTTTTCTCCAAGGTGTCACAAGGAATCAATGGCAGAATCAGAAACAGAACCAAGGAATTCCAACTCCTAATCCCCTGCTCTGGCCACCTGATAACACTCACTCTAGAGAAATATGGCTTGCATTTACAATAGAAGCTTAGAGTTACAAACAGCAGAGGTTATGAACTGACCAGTCAACCACACACTTCATTTGGAACCAGAAATACACAATCAGGGAGCAGCAGAGGAAAAAAAATACAGTTCAGTACTGAGTTAAATGTAAATTACTAAAAAAAATAAAAGGGAAAGCACCATTTTTCTTTTGCACAGTAAAGTTTCAAAGCTGTATTAAGTCAATGTTCAGTCGTAAACTTTTGAAAGAAAACCACTGTGATGTTGCACTCCATATTTTTTATGGAAATATGCTTATGAGTGTGAATATGATGTAACTGGAATATACTTTATGCAAAATGTGTCTTGTAAGATATCATAAAAAAGGTTATAACCTACTGAATATATTCTTCCTATTTGTATGCATGTATCATTCTTGTATCTGAAGCTAAAAATATGAAGTATAACTGAGGTCCTATTGTAATTATGCAAAGCGTCGGCCATTAATGGTTTAGAATCTTGATGGCTCCCATTGACTAGGACAACTGGTTGTAAATGGATCAGTTTACTTACAAATCTTCCTGTGTACATGTGGGCCAACCCAGGAAGAATGGAGGTTGAGGTCTCATAGGACATGTGATCATGTCACCCGATACTGGAATCCATCTTAAATCTGGTACTTTTCCATTTAGAAGGAGGGGTGGGGACCCAGAGAGACAAAAAAGATTCCCGTCTTGTGCCAAAGCTACAAAAGGGGGTGGAACAGAACAAAGGGGGCTGCCAGCCCCTGCTTTACACCAAAGATGTTTGCTGGAACTAACAAGGACTGTACCAGGGGAAAGGATTGGGCCAAGACTAGGAAGGAGTCTAGTCTGTGAAAGCAGCTTATTGGAACCTCTCTGAGGGTGAGATTTTACCTGTAAACAGTTTCTTAATGTATTAGGCATAGACTTGCGAGTTTTTGCTTTATTTTGTTTGGTGACTTACTTTGTTCTGTCTGTTATTACTTGAAGCCATTTGAATCCTACTTTTTATACTTAATAAAAATCACTTGTTTATTAATGAACCCAGAGTAAGTGATTAATACCTAGGGGAGTAAACAGCTGTGCATATCTCTCTATCAGTGTTATAGAGGGCAGACAATTTATGAGCTTACCCTGTATAAGCTTTATACAGAGTAAAATGGATTTATTTGGTGTTTGGATCCCATTGGGAATTGGGTGTCTGAGTGCTGGAAGTAAGTGACCTGCTGAGCAGTTTTTGGTTAAAGTCTGCAGCTTTGGGGGTGTGGACCAGACGTGGATCTGTGTTGCAGCAGGCTAGCTTGTCTGGCTTAACAAGGCAGGGTTCTGGACTCCCAAACTGGCAGGGAAAACGGACTCAGAGGTAATCTCTGCACGTCAGGTGACAGTCCCAAGGGGGTCTCTGTGACCAAACCCGTCACTACTATAAAACATTCTGTTCAGAGTTACGAACATTTCAGTTATGAACAACCTCCATTCCCAGGGTGTTTGTAACTGAGATTCTACTGCATCTCCTCTATGATTGGTTGCCTCTGCAGGTGTAAAGTATACGGGTGGACAAGCAGTCTCCCTTCTCATTATTTTGCAGCAGAGGCAGCTGTGGAAGAGTGTGTAGGCACACAACATGGTAATACATTTACTACAGGAATAAGCTTTAATGCAATATCAGCATGGAAGCTGAAATCCATAAAGGTTGAGAAATTTTAAACTTGAGGTTCCTGCAACATTAACTCACATGTGCCTATAAGAGACAGCTGCATAATGACATTAAAATAAAGTACACCTCTTACCAGAGAAGGGTTTCCTAATGCACTGCTGCTGCTTTCCCATACATTTGCAACTCCTAAAAATATATATATACTTTTCTAGCTAAAGAGAACTGCAGATCTGGATAGAGCAAGTTAAATGTCTGAAAGGAGGAAATTCACTATGAAGCCATTAGTGAATGTGTACAGTACTTACATTCATCCAGCCCTAGCTGATAAGCCAGGTTCTGCAGGCCTCGAACCTTTTCCATTAGGTTTGCTGTGGTAAGGCTCCCCAGCTCTAAAAAACAAAATAAATGTGATTTTTAACACTGTCTGTTGCCCTCTAGTGGCAACTAAGCCATATTAACTATTTAGCAAAGAGCCTTCAGGTCATATTGTTGATGTGCTCGCTCTGCCCCTTGGAGACAGCATATGTTCAGTAGTCCTCCTCACATCTGGATAACAGGGAAATAGTGCAGGCCCATAGATTCCTTATTTGGAATTCCCAGTGTGGGTGGCTAAATCTGAATGGATTACAAAACTATAGACCGGGGTTGGCAACCTTTCAGAAGTGGTGTGCCGAGTCTTCACTCTAATTTAAGGTTTCGCGTGTCAGTAATACATTTTAACATTTTTAGGAGGTCTCTTTCTGTAAAAGTCTATAATATATAACTATTGTTGTATGTAAAGTAAATAAGGTTTTTAAAAATGTTTAAGTAGCTTCATTTAAAATTAAATTAAAATGCAGAGCCCCCCCCGGACCAGTGGCCAGGACCCGGGCAGTGTGAGTGCCACTGAAAATCAGCTCGCGTGCCGCCTTTGGCACGCGTACCATAGGTTGCCTACCAGCTATAGACAGAGGGAAGAGACTTACTCCTGTAACCCACCCTTCTTCTAGTGCACACTTCTTCCCTACTGTTCATTTTAAAGTGCATTTTGTCTACTCTAAGTTTGACTATCGCACACACTGAGGCAACAATTCCGCTGAGGTGGTGTTTCCATAACCTGATGTGTCTCACTGTCAGGAAATTCTCACATTTCTTGGATGTTTCCCTTCATTTCATCCCACTACTCCTTGTTATACCACACTAAGTTCTCCAAGAAGGATGTAAACACCAAGGAAATATTTGTAGACATTCTGCTCTCTTCTCATCTTAGACACACGCCTTAACTGTACACCACTTATTAATTATGAATACTTTCACTCTTTAGTCAAATTAATTTCGCTGACTCCCTGACTGTTTTGTTGCTCTTCTCTGAGCTCCCTACAACGTTAATACCTGTATGGCATATGGAGGTGAACACAGTATCTCAGATGTGACTGAACCAGAGCCATACAGCGAAGAATAATTCACCTTTTTGCTTTGCTATTGTTTTGCCATCATATAGTTTATTATTTTGGAAGTAAACAAGTTTGAAGCTCGAGGAGGTAACTGACACAAATTAACAAAAACTTTTAACTCAACAATTTCCAATAGGAATCCAAAGGCCTGTAGATTTTGTACTTTTGGAGACAGTAGTAAAATCATAGCTGTTCCATAGCACAGCCAGCACGGTACTTAAAAGGAGAGATTAGATCTGTTACATATCGATACAACTATTTTCTGCAGAATCATTTACTTTTAGATCGAATTAATTGAGCTCTCACAAGTCAGTCTGTTAGTTTACAGATTAAAAGTTACCCCTCTAACATCTCCAATTCCTCCAGGAAAAAAAATAAAAAAATGAAACATTAGGTCAGAGGTTTGAAAAAATAAAACAAAATTAGTAACTGACTTGTACGTTGTAAACTTGAAGATACAGGCTGTATGTTAAGTTTATTATGTGAAAACATTTGATTAACTTATTCATAACCATTATTTGCTTTGTGTTATCCATCATGTAACTAGATCAGTCATCAAATGATTGTTCCAGAATTTAAGATTTCATTTAAGAGATATTTCTAGTACTATGGTTGTGAAGAGAACATTGAAAACATGAGTCAAGGCTAATTGATTTGGTGGGTACATCTTCACTAGGAAAAAGGTATGGATAGTTCTCTGAAAACATCCACTCAATTTGCAGCAGCAGTCAAAAAAGCTAACAGAATATTAGGAACCAGTAGGAGAGGGATAGATAATAAGACAGAAAATATAATGCCTCTATATAAATCCATAGTACCCCCACACCTTGAATATGACATGCAGTTCTGGTTGCCCCATCTCAAAAAAGATACATTAGAATTGGAAAAGATACAGAGGAGGACAACAAAAATGATTACGAATATGGAACAACTTCCATATGAGGAGAGATTAACAAGACTGCGACTTTTCAGCACAGAAAAAAGATGACTAAGGTGGCATATGATAGAGGTCTATAAAATCATGAATGGTGTAGAGAAAGTAAATAAGGAAGTGTTATTTACTTCTTCGTATAACACAAGAACCAGGAGTCACCCAGTGAAATTAATAGGCAGCAGGTTTAAAACAAACAAAAGGAGGTACTTCTTCACACAATGTACAGTCAACCTGTAGAACTCTTTGCCAGGGGATGTACTGAAGGCCCAAACTATAACGGGATTCGAAAAAGAATTATGTAAGTTCATGTAGGATACGTCCATCAATGCTTATTAGCCAAGATGGTCAGGGATGCAACGTCATGCTCTGGGTGTCCCTAGCCTCTGACTGCCAAAGCTGGGAGTGGAGGACAGGGGATGGATCACTTGAAAATTGCATGTTCTGTTTATTCTCTCTGAAGCACCTGGCATAGGCTAGTGTCAGAAGACAGGATACTGGGCTAGGTGGATCACTGGTGTGACCCAGCCTGGCCATTCTTATATTCTGAAGGTACATTAACACCACCTTTTTTCCCCTAGTGAAGATATACCCCCCTACAGACTGTCTGAAACAGTAGTTCTGACAGGTGCGAACAGTAATTGAGGGCAATTAACTTTGAAATTTAAGTTGACCACTTGAATAGTCACATAAATTAAATCGCCGCTGATCATTTTAGCAGAATCAGAATGCAGCATTTTCTCTGCAGAGACTGGCAGATGGTGACTAGGAAGATGCCTAGCTCATTGTGCACTCAGCTACTCTTTTCCTCAAATGTAAAAGAAACCCCAAAGAGCTAGGAAAGTTCTGCCAGCCTTGTAATAAAGAGCCAACACGCAGGAGCAGGAATCCTACATAGAAGGTACCTTTACAAAACTCACATTTTGAGTAGAAGTAGCAGGGACAAATTGTGTTAGAAGTACCCAAGGGACTATGATCAAACAGTTTGTGACTGCTCTTTAGCCTAATTCTATTAGAAGCTGTGCAACAGAACCCAGAGTTGAGCACAATTGAATTGAGCCATTTTCAAAAACAGTTCCTTTTGCACTGTAGTTTGTGTCTGAGTACAGTCAAATGTTTCTCCAGCCTGAAGAAGAGATCTCCAAGGTCTAAAATTGGAAACAGTGCAGTAGAGCGGTGTTCAAAGAGCTATTTCTACAGTACATGCGCTCATGGGGAGCTCCGTTGAACACTTCCGAAGCTACTGATGTTTTCTAGATCACAAATAGCTCCCAAATAAAGAAACTCAGTCACAGTTGTGGAAGCAGGGAAAGAAAGAGAGAGTATAAGTGCAGCCATTTAAGTGTCAGAGACAGAGCAACTGTTCTGTCAAGTCTTAGCCTAATATTGTGAGACCTGTAGAAGCAGGGCTCACATCAGAAGCGAGTGGAAAACAATAGTCAGTGTGACCTAGCCTTGAGATAACGATGTTTGAGAAGAGAAAGTGAGAAAATACTGGAATAGATAGCAAATAGCCTAAATAAAATGCAGATGTTTTAAATTAATGCACGTCACAAAGAGGTATAAATGCTTGTGAGATTTTGCTTGTACTTTGGAGAAACTGAGGCAGAGATGCTCTCTGTCAGCTGTGTTCTTCCCTTGCAATTGCATGTCCTGAATAAAGCTGTCTCTGATTTTGTTGCTTCCAACCTGAGAGTGGAGTTTGTTTCTTCCACACTGTCTGAGAAAAATTCATCTGAGGAAAAGCCCTTCAATAGCCCCACTTTCGTTAGCCTATTAGAATTAGTAGGATTTCTAGCCAAGGGGGGGGAAACCACAGTTGAACTTCTCCAGAAATCAAGATTTCTTGTCACTCTGTGAGTAACTGGCACAGAAAGAGATACTGGCTTGTGCTTTTTTTTTTTTTAAGTGGGGGTAAGAATGTATTTTCTCCTGTGGGTGTTTTACATTAAAAATTAATGTAATCGTCATCACAATAGTTCATAGCCTTCCAGTTACACAATCACAGATAACAAGCAAATAAAACCTGACAAGAGAAACAAGTTCTTCTCACACTATAGAACATGTATAAAATGGATATTTTGAAAAACGTTTGTTTAAAACATCTGGGAAGAAAACTCTGGAGGATTTAATAATTAAGAGCTGAGAGGGCTACCAACTTAGATTTAGGTCACAGACAACGAGAAAAGAAAAGAAAAGAGTGATGTTCCTTGATATTTCTAAGAAAACAGAAATTTCTAACACCCCTTTTAAACCCAATTTATACTGCATAAGCAGCACAATAGGCACTACCTTAGGTTCTTTTCCTTTGAGGTCTCAAGTTTCTACTTACCTAGACTCCACATCGCTTGCTATCTGATAGCTCATACTTACCCTTTAACATATCAATATCATCATTTTCTAGTTCAGCCATCCATTTGGGAGGAGAATTGGTGATAGGCTGTCAGAAGACAAACAAAATGCATGCTCAATCAAGTATTTTTGTGCATTGCTGTAGGAGATGTAAAGCTACCATCTCCAGCAATGACGACACCCAGACAATAATATTAAATGAACTAAGGATTAAACCCCAGACACGGTGTAAAGAGCTATCCTCATCAGATGCTGTGTTTCTGTATTGGAGTCCTGTTTTTCCACTGTTGCTGACGCAATGCCCCCTTATCTCCCAAAGGGCAATATAGACAGTAATACTTCTGATAATAACCAAGTTCAGATCTAAAGCTTTCACTTCCAAGTTTCATATACAGTATGAAGCAGAAGATACATTTATTGTACATTCTGAAATTCCCATAGAGGAAAAAGTTACCCTAGCAAGAAAAGAGAGACTGTGACAAGTAACATGTGCAAAAAGGAGTGTGTTCTCTAGGACAGTGGTTTTCAAACTTTTTTTCTGCTGACCCAGTTGAAGAAAATTGTTGATGCCCGCAACCCAATGGAGCTGGGGATGAGGGGTTTGGGAGGGGCTCAGGGCTGGAACAGAGGGTTGGGCTGCAGGGGTGAGGGCTGTGGGGTGGGGCCAGGAATGAGGGGGTCAGGGTGTGGGAGGGGCAGGAGGTTGGGGTGCAGGCTCTAGGGTGGGGCCGGGGATGAGGGGTTTGAGGTGCAGGAAGGGGCTTAGGACTGGGGAAGAGAATTGGGGCACGGGGCGTGGGCTTACCTCGGGAGGCTCCCGATCAGCAGAGCAGCAGGGGTGATAAGGCAGGCTTCCTGCCTGTCCCGGCACAGCGGAAGCTGCCAGCAGCAGGTCCAGCTCCTAGGCAGAGGCGCGCAAGCAGCTCTCGCCCACAGGCACTGCCCCCCCAGCTCTTGGGGCAGGAACAGCGTGTGGAGCCCCATGGCCTCCCCGCCTAGGAGCTGGACCTGCTGCTGGCCAATTCCGGGGCACAGCACAGTGTCAGAACAGGTAGGAACTAGCCTGTCTTAGCTGGGCAGCACCACCAACGGGACTTTTAACGACCCGGTCAGCAGTGCTGACCAGAGTCGCTGCGACCCAGTGCCTTACATTCCGTGACCCACTACTGGGTTGCGACCCGCAGTTTGAAAACTACTGATCTAGGAGAGGTCTTAATAGAAACAGTGACATTAGCGAACTATATATAAGAAACTTTATAGACAAAACGTCTGTATAGGGTACAGGGATTTCCAAAAGATAGCAAAGTTGGAGAAAGAAGTGGGAGGAAATGTAAACAGGTTTCAATTAGAGGAGATCACTTACACTTTTGAAGGAAGCAGCAAATTCAGCAACACCTGGTACTGGATAGAAGGAGAGAGAAAGATAATTATTCACGACCCAAATGTCACTGCCTTCCTGTTTCCAAAGAAGCCACAACTAACCATCATCTAAGGATACGTTTACCCTGCAGCTGTGAAGCATAATTCCCAGCTTGGGTAGGCATAAACACTTGCGTGAGCATGTTAAAAATGACAGCGTGGCCACGAAGGTCACAGGCAACTTGCCTGAATACAATCCTGTCTGAGGTCCTAAGCAGATAGGTTGACAGCTAGCCTGAGTTGCCATGGCCATGCTGATATATGTTTGTATGCTACATTGAACAGAGCTACTGCACATGTGCCAATCAAACTAGGAATTACACTTCCCAGCTGCAGTGTAGTTAGATAAAATCCCCAGACACACCCTGCCATAAGAAATGCCATCTCACTACATTAAATGTGAAATGTTAGTCACTTCAATTCATGCAAGAAACTGCAGCAAGTACTACAGTAGTTACAAGAATTCAGAATACTCCTTGGGAGACTACTCCTGCTGATTTGCCATGGGAGTGTCAAGAGCAGGCAGACAGAGTTTATTGACCAGTAGTTTACCCAGAGGTCCTGAGAAGCGTTCCTATCAGCCCTCGCTAGTTAGAGATCAACCACCTCACCAAGGAACGCAGATCATTGTAGTTTAAATTCGTTGGTGAAGAGAACACAACCTGAGAAGTATCCCTATTAGAAAGATGCCACAAGGACATCCTGGATCTACTGGGGCTCAAGCTGGATACCTTCTCCGTTAAACCGATGTTATATTTACATGGCCAGATAAAGCCTAGAGGGTGCCACTCCCTGCACAACCAGACCATAACTCTGTGATGCAGACAGGCCCCCTCCCAGGTGGGAGACTGCAGAACACTGATGATCATGGGGCCTTTCCTCTTCTCACTGGGACACTAGAGGCTGTCTCCTGCTACCTCCCACACGAGGGATCCACCCACATCACCAAGCCCTGGGGGAGAATCAGGCACGACTTACGCTGCTCCGGCCACAAGTCTGGGGATGCTCGGTCCAGCTTTTCAAAGCTCAACAGGGAGGCTTCCAGGTCGGTCCCTGGAAGGAGACAGTCAATCAGACACGGCGCACACCGCTCCCACCTCGCAGCCGGGCATGTCACACGCAGCCTAGGCGAGGCCCCGGCCGTACTGCCCCCGGGCCTTGGCGTGAGGGTGCCCTGGCAAGGCTCGACCGTGGCGCCCAGCGTAGGACACTAGTGGCATCTGTCCGGGGACGTGCCCGGAGGGCAGGGCTGCCCGTTCCTGTGTCAGGCTCCATTGCCCGGGGCGGCCCCGCGGCGAGATGGGGGCGCCTGGCAGAGCCAGTCCCCAGGACCCTCACGGTGCCGAACCGCCGGCGACAGAGAGTGGGGGCAGCGACATTTAAAGCTCGAGATGCGGCTTAGGAACCGGGCGGGCTGGGCCGGTGCCCAGGAGACGCCGCGGCTGAGCTCCGCGCGAAGGGCAGGCGGGATATGATAGGCGGAACCGGCTCCAGTCCCGGTGCTTCAAGTTCTTACCTTCCGTGGGAGCCGCCATCTTGCCCAAGTCACGTGACAGGCAACTGCCGCCCGCGGGAACGTACACGTGACTCCCTCTAGCGCCGCCCCGACACGCGTCACCTGCGTTCCTCTCCCTAGGAGGCGAGTTCGGACCCGAATTTCCACCCAAGCAGGCTTCCCATGCAGGGGGCGTTTCAGTTCACGTGGCCAATCCTCGCCCTAGGACGGTGGGCGGTTCCTGTGGGGCGGGGCCAAACGAGTTCGGATCCCTATTGGCCCGGACGAGCGGCACCGTGCTGTGCGAAGGCGAGGGTGTTGTCTAAGCGGCCAATAGCAGTGCGGGCCCGGGTGGGCCCTGTGTGCTGTGAGGGTCTGGCAGTCTCCCCGGGGCTCAGGGACTCCTAGCGGACAGGATGGCGGCGCTGGCAGGTCGCGGGGCCCAAGCTGGGCAGCGGTTCCTATGCAGGGTGAGGCCGGGCGCCCGCAGCCCAGCGGGGCCCGAGGAGCCCCTTCCCCATGCCTAGGTGGGGGAGCCCTGTCGTGGCTCCGACGGGTGGGCCCGGGGCTGAGCAGCTGCGGCTGGGGGCTCGGGGCTGGTCTCTCCGGCCTCGCCTATGCCGCACAGTCCCCCGGGCTAGGGGGCCGTGTGGCCGCCGCACTACTGTTCCCGACGGGTTCTCGGGGGTCAGCCTGGCTGCCAGCGCGGCTCGACTGAGTGCGAGACCCGGGGTCACCGCCCCCTGCTGGAGGACGATCAAGCCTTGCACTCGCCCCGCGAGGGAGGGGTGCGTGGTCTGAGATAGGTTTTCTCCGGGGCAGACAGCGAGGGGTAGCAGCGGGACAGCTCTCAGACTCGGGGCAGCGAGGTTTCTGGCTATGACTGGTGTGTGGGAGCTGGGCTGGGCGGGCTCACCGCTTTAGTGCCACTGTGGACAGGGACTGACGGAAGCGGTTCTGATTGTTTCCCCGTCCTGCTGCCCCAAGGAGAGCTGTGGGACGGTACCTAGAAAACTGCGCAGTGGAAACGGTTTAGAACTGCACAAGTGTGAATGAGGGCAATTGTGCAGCACTTTCAAATTCGTCGACCTAGCAGAGTAACTTGAACCAT